GCAAGCTGCTGGAGAGCGGCTGCAGCCCAAGGTCGTCGAGATCGACGGCGCGGGGCCCCGTGTGGCGGAGATGGAGGACCGCGCCGACGAGGGGATGGGGCCGCGTAACGAGCGCGTGATCGCCGCGATCGAGGAGGCCTCCTTCACGGGCAAGGGCGACAAGCCGGTGGTCGTCCAGCTGTACCGTGACTACGCTACCAAGGTGAACAACGCGATGTATGCCTCGGGCGAGGTGGTGAAGGGGGAGTACGAGGGCGAGTACAACGCGGCGGGAGAGCGCGAGGGGCGCGGCGTCATGCGGTACGCCAACGGCAACGTCTACGACGGCGAGTACAAGGCGGGTATGAGGGAGGGGCGCGGCGTCCTGCGGCTCGCCAACGGCGAAAACTACGACGGCGAGTGGAAGGCGGGTAAGAGGGAGGGGCGCGGCGTCTACCGGTACGCCGACGGCAACGTCTACGACGGCGAGTTCAAGGCGGATGAGATGGAGGGGCGCGGCGTCTACCGGCACGCCAACGGCAGCGTGTACTCGGTCTTCTACAAGCAGGGTGCCCCCGTCGGCGAGGGCGTCATGTGGATGGCGGACGGGCAGCAGGCGGATCGGACGCGTGACGGGAAGGGAGTGGAGTGGATCTCGCTGGAGGAGGCGCGGCAGACCGCCGAGCGGCTCGGGCTCCCCCTCCCCTCCCCGCTGCCCGGCGCGGCGTGAGAGGCAGCACTCTTAGCGAGAGCACCCGTGGAGCACATGTTCTCTGTGCGAGAACCGAGCCGCGACCTATCTCATTTTGAGTCGGCGGCGGCGGGGGAGGCTGCCGGTCCCCGCCGGATTCCTTCCGGGGCGGGACCGGAAGTTGGGCCCGAGGGGCCGGGGGGGGGGGGGGGGGGTGCAAGCCACGTGCTCGGCGCCCAACCCCCAATTCCTGGTTGCGGTTCCCTGGCGGGGCCCCCCAAGGGGGAAGGGGGGGGGGGGGGGCTTTCCCCAAAAAACCCCTTGGGAAGGGGGGGCGGGGTTCCCCGGGGGGGGTTGGGCAACCCAAGGCCCCCCCGGGGGTTTTTGGGGAAATGTAAAAAATGTTTTTTAAAAAAAAGCCCCCCGAAAAAAAAAAAAGGGGGAAAACCCCCCCCCCTTCCCCTTGGGGGAAACTGGGGGGAAAAAAAAATTTTTTAAAGGAAAAACCCCGCCCTTGGGGGCCCCCAAAAACCCCCTTTGGGGGGGTCAAAACCCCCCCCTTTTACCCCGGGGG